CCGGCCCGCGGCCGCCAGCCGGCGTGCGCGCCGTGACTCAGCGCTGGTGCCGGGATGCGGCTCCCAGCCGGCCCGTGGGGGAGGGACCTTCGCGCGTTTCCAGGGAGCTGCCTCCGCTTCCTTGGGCTCTGCGCGGAGCCGCACCAGCCTCTCCCCGAGGGGAGCCCGCCCCGGGCTGGGCAGGGCGGGAGCTGGTGCTCGGGTCGGGCTGGCCGGCACAACCCCCTCCCCGCGCCCGCCGGCAGGAGGACACTGGCCCTCGACCAGGTTCCTTGGGCCTCCTGCGTGGAAGCCGGGCGGCTCCGAAGGACCTGTTATATGCAAGGCAGGAGGGCCGGTGCGCCCAAGCCCAGAGGGGACTCAGAGGAGCATCCCTGGGACGGCAGGGGTGCTCTCGCCCCAGGACAGGCTGCAGGCCCTGGCGCCCCACACCGACCTGGGGCCAGGGGCCCATGCAGGAGCCCATGCAGGGCAGTGTCGGCTGCCCTGGCGCCTCAGAGGCCCCAGGCCCCCGCACTCCGCCTGCACCCTGCCCTCCCATCCAGCTCTTCAAATGGGAGCCTGTCCAAAGTGTGCCCCAATACCAGACCCAGCTGGCCCTCTCTGACAGGAGCCCCAGGAGTGGCCCAGAGCGCTGATGGGAACATGGGGACCCCTGCCCGGCCGCCGGCCTGGCTCTGTGACGGCCTCTGCCTCTGGCTGGAGCACAGCTTCCCGGCCCCCCCCCGGGCTCCAGGCTTCTTCACATGGACAAGTACAGCGCACCCCTCTGGGGGATCTGCCTCCCCCCGACCTGATGATGCCGACACGGAAGGGGGTACCTCCACTGTGGCCAGCCCCCAGGGGCTGCAGACACGCACCCGGGCCCTGGCTGCAGACACGCACCCGGGCCCTCGCTGGCGGCACCATGGACAGCAGCCGCCGGGGACCCTCCCAGTGCCTGCGCTGCCTGGGCAGGCTCCACAGCCCGGGGGTCAGGCGGACCCCAATATGGAACCCCTTGTCCACACGTGGGGGCCACCCAGTGCTTTCATCACTTCCCCAACACCTCCAGAGGCTGGCGGGGCGCAGGGGCCAGGAAACGCCAGCTGCTTCCC